CACGACATAGCATAAACAGGAAGAGCCGACACGACTGATTTAATCAGTACTTCCAAACCTGCTGGTGATAAACAACGTCGTTTCCAACCTTGGAGACGTTTAGCCACCGCTTCCTCAATGAAACGAAACGTATCCCGCTTTGAACGACGGATCAGGGAAGGTAATCCAAGGTAGCGATCACGAACCCCAACTGCACCAATTCGCATGGTGGTCCCAAAAAGCGTCGCCTCCTGCGTTGTGGTATTTTTAGAGAACACCACTGCTGATTTTGCTAAATTGACCCGCTGGCCACTCATCCGTTCATATCGATGAAGCAGATCCAATAATCGTTGACAGTCAATCGGAGAAATCCGAAGAAAAAGATAAGCATCATCCGCAAAAAATAAATGCGAGAGCACCGGACAATGATTATTGAGACGAATCCCCTTTAGCTCTGAGCGAGTAATGGATTGCAATATCAATGCTGAAAAACCTTCCGTGCAAATTGCGAAAAGCAATGGTGAAAGCGGATCCCCTTGACGTAAACCACGAGATGGCCGAAAATACCCGTAAGAGGCACCATTGAGTAGGACCGAAATGGAGGTCGTGGAGAGACAATTGTGGAGAAGCGCAATCACTCGTGGAGCAAAACCCAAATTTTCCATTAATCGAAAGAGGTAGGGCCATTCAATCCGATCATAAGCCTTCTCCATATCAAGTTTCAATGCCATAAAACGCTCGTAACCAGTACGTTTATTACGAAGGTACGTCATAACTTCTTGACTAAGAATGACATTATCAATAATCGAACGATCTTTAACGAAGCCATTCTGAAAGGTGGAGATAACATTAGGTAACACCTGCCCAAGACGAGTAGCAATGATCTTGGAAATAAGCTTGTAGAAAACTTGGCATAACCCAATCGGCCGCAATTGCGCACATGTCTCTACCTGAGGCACCTTTGGAAGGAGAGTAAGCCAGGTATGGTTGAAGGAGCGCAACAAATTCCCAGTACGGAAAAAAGATTTTACCGCAGCACAAACATCACGACCAACTAAGTCCCAAAAATGTTGGAAAAACAAGGCCGTAAAACCGTCCAACCCGGAGCCTTTGAAGAACCAATCTGGAATAAAGTATGACGAATTTCGGAATCAAGAACTGGTGCCAGAAGAGCCTCATTCATAGCAGCCGTGACTTTGGGTTGTAATGGCAAAGAATCCACTGCAGAAATAACGTCGGCAGGAGAAGTTTCTGAGGTAAACAAAGTCGAAAAGTGAGATACCGAGACCATACCCTTCTCCTGTTCATCTTCAACAATGGCACCGGTAGTAGTGCGAAGAGAGGATACAAAGTTTCGAGCACGACGGGTTTGAGTAACCCTATGAAAATAATTAGTATTCCGGTCCCCACGCTGCAACCAATTAACACGAGAGCGTTGGTGCCAATAAGCCTCCTCCTGCTCCCAAGCAATGGTAAGTTCTCGTTCCAACACTCGAATGGAATCCCAATTCGGCATCGGCATCTCCCGTTGTAGACGGATAGCATGGGTGAGGTCATGAATGCGCCGACGGGAATTCGTACATCCCCCCAACGTCCATTGGAAAAGTGCATGCCGGACACGTTTTAACTTGGTATGAAGGCAGTACATCGGGGATCCCAAAACAGGTATATTCCAATAATAATCGATAATAAGGCGAGCTTCCGGATTAGAAGTCCAACGGTTATCAAAACGGAAGAGTTTCTTGTGTTTCATAGTCCGCCGACGACATCGCCATAAAAGCATCCTGTGATCAGATCCCATGTCCGACAAATGAAAGATAACAGAATCAGGAAAAATATTGACCGCCTCTGCCGAAAAAAGAAACCTGTCCAGTCTTGTTTCAATGAGAGAGGCCCCAGTACCATGATTGGAGCGCGTAAAAGGATGCCCATGAAAGCCTATGTCCAGCAAGCCAAAATCATCAATAAAATCACGAAGAGGAGCAGCCGACCTGGAGTCAAAACGCTCACTACCCTTTTTTTCATCACTCGACAAGATAGTATTGAAATCACCAAATAATATATATGGGAGGTTTAAAGAACCTAAAAAAGTAGACAAAGCTTGAATTTGCAAAATACGAGTCACAAGATCACAAGATAAGTAAACACCAACAAGAACTACACTTTTATTTAAAGAGACATCCCACCGGAATGCAATAAACGTAGGCGAGCTATCGAGAATAGCACCGCTCATAGTAGAGTTCCACATAAAAGCTAAACCCCATCCCGACGTCGCGCTAGGGGGAACAATACAAGGATTACTAAATCCCAACCGTGAAATAGTAGTCTCACACCTAGACAAAGAAACTTTAACTTCACTTAAGAAAACAAACATAGAACGATTACTACGTATAACACGTTGGAGTTCACGGAATGTCAAGGTACCTCCCAACCCTTGACAATTCCAACTCAAAAGTGTCACTTAATGAGCGTTGACCAATCCGGGCTGGTCACCTCCACCTCAGCAGCAGGAATCTTGGCATCGGCGGCAGGGGTACATGGCTCTCCTGGCGCAGTCAACTCCAGTGGACTAGAAACAGCAACAGAATCAGCAACGTCCGGCGAAGGAGAATTGGGGTCGAGCAGCTCCAGACCTTCCAATTTCGGATGGGCAGGGATGATGGCCATGGGCTCATTAATCTCCCAAGTTGGAGCAGGCAGTAGTGGAGGAAGAGGGCCACACGACAAGAAAGCAGGCCCGAAAGCATCATCCTTAACAGCTGGACACAGAGACTCCAACACGGGGACGTCAGGTTCGGCTTTAACATCCGGGAAATCCAGCAATAATGGGCCCAAAGCCTCCGTGAGAAAGTCGCAAGCCTCCTGAACAGCATCTGAAAATTCCAAAGTGCGACGTGCTTTCTTCCCACACGGCAGTGGCGATGTGACCAATTCCGCCTCCAGCAACGTGCGTTTGCGATCAACCAGCAAATCCTCGTCGGAGAGGCCAATGCGGAACGGTTTCAGCTTCCGAGGCGGCAGCGGCGGGTCAGCATCCACCATCGGCTGCTTTCCTCGAGCCTTCTCAGACAGCCTTGATGGTGAGGGAACAACGGACCTCTTAATTGGTGACGACAGAGTGCTAGACCCGGCCGAGCCCGGCGAGTCCCCTCCAGAAATTGGAACTTGTCGTTCTGCCGAAGGAAGACTAGCAGCAGGCAAAGCCACGAGAGCCTTCGTCGTAGGAGTGATTGTGAGGTGCAAATCCTCCAAACTGGCTTCAAGCGGGGGAATGGCGTCCGCAGCACGCCAGGTAGCATCCCGGTAAAAATTGGCCGGACGCATAGTAGTTGCATCCAGCCTGGTCCCTTCCGGATTGGCCGACATCCATCTCCCTCGAGCACCCGGATTGAAAGGAAGAATGTCACGTTGAGGGCAAGCAGCCTGACCGTGACCAAACAACCCACATCGGAAGCACAGCGGAGGAAGGCGCTCATAGCACAAATAAACCCAGAAGCGAGCACCATCGTCGAGCACCGCCTGAACTCGTCCCCAGAAAGGCTTAGTAACATCAATAATGACTTTCGCCTTCAAGAAAAAACCTGCATCCGACCGAGTTCCGTAGAGCCCAACTTCTTGAACATCACCCAAAGGAGCCACCAATTCGCGGCCGAACTCCGGAGTACAATTGTCATGCCAGGCTGTCGAATGGCTGCGAAGTTGAATCCAGAGCGGCTTGAACGTCATGCGATTGAACAACTCTAGAGTGGGAGTTCCCATGGCAGGACATGCATCAGAAAGCGCTTAAAAGGCCACGGTTGATTGTCCAGGACCCTTTTCCTATCCGCAACAGACGCGAACAAAAATTGGTAGAGGCCATGCCCAGCATCATACACCAAAAGAGAGACAGACAGTCCCCATAACCGAGTGAGGATTTTCTGGATGATCAATCGATTAGGGGGATTGGGATCAAAGATTCGAGCAACCAAACTCAATTTCTTGCGTTCCTCTGCCGCCGAGTTGTCAACTCCCGAAACACGAACCACCAAATCCGCAGAAGTCGGCTTAGTACTAGAGGAAGCCATTATCGCATAGAAAGGCAAAAGGGGGAAGAGAGCGTCAAAAAGACGACGACACCGAAGGTAGTGAATATATAAGACACAGCCAAAAAAGAAGATAAAGATGAAGTAAACCGCCATGGAACCGTCTTGCAGAGAAGGAATAACTGCAACAGAGCAACAATGGACAACATAAATGGATAAAATACGCCAGTGCAACCGTCGAAGAACAATCAGGCGGTTAGCAATGGGGAAAGCGCGCCAAATGCGCGTGATTGGCACAACGGCCAAAGCTCCACAACAATTGGAGTACGGTACAAAAACAGAGACCAACGAGAACCGAAAAGGACAGGCCGCCGACACAAATTCCGGCTTACTGATCATCGCAAGGAGACCCTTGTAAGACATGTACTATATTCTTCCAACAACAACATCACTTTCAAGTTCAACTGTAGGAGTAGGAAATGTGTGTTTCGATTAATGGTATAAGTGGGCTGGTATTTGTTTCTTTGAAAGTTTACTAGGCCTATTTAATTTAATCTATAAATCACACACTAATCTACGTGGGCTTAAGTGAGAGAACTAGAGCCCATTAAGACATATAGAATCCAGAACCCATAAACATATCTTTGTCTAACTTGCTGTGCATTTCACGATCAAAACTTGTTTTCCTTTCCTTCATACTCTGTTCTATTTCTGTTCTTGTTTTAGAAAGCTAGGTTTCCAGGAAAGCCTGCAATAGCAGATAGAATCAGTGAAATCGACGCCGGAGTCTCGCGCTCGAGACTCAATCAACATTCTCTTCGCTCTTCGGTTTTTATTCCGCGCAAACGGTATTTAGCTGGCAGGACCAGGCAGCCGAAACATCGCCAATTCCCGTGTAATATTCCCCAACAACGGCAGAGCTCAACGTCGAAGCCGAAACCAAAGGTGAAGCCTTCCTTCCTCACTAGGGTTTTATTTTCTAATTTTTTTTCAACTGGCGAAATTCTTTTCGGATTTCTTGTTTCCCTATTTCCTCCGGTTTCCTCACTCGCACGTCGGGACATTTTCTTGATCTCTCGCAGTCGGCTCTTTCGATTGGTATGTTTTATGTCAACATATGCTTGTAATTGTCGCCACTTACTAGCTCTTTCTTGGATGTATTACTCTGGTTTGATGAGTGAATTTTGAAATTGCGGTTTTCCTAACGTAGAGAGAGAGTGAGAGACAGCGATTTGGAAACTGTCACCTTCTTGTTTGTTCGGATCAATGCCTGCTGTGTGGAAATTTCTCGCTTCCTTGTCTGTTACTTGTCATGTAATAGTCTCTCTGCGCGTTTTTGACAAAAACTATTGGGTTTCTTGTTGGGTTTGATCTTTTGCTTGAATTTTGAGATTGCGCTCAAGTGGCGGTTTTAAGGTTCTATTTCAGGTTTGACTGTTATTTGCGGAGGTACTTGGGGGTATTATTTATTCAATTTAATCGGTGTTTGGGAATGGTCGATTCTTTTCATACTCGGGAGCTCTTTGTCTTGATAAGATTGGTGGGTACAGCTCAGATAAGCGGTAGACTTGAGATATTATATATAAGGTATTCTTGAACTCTAAGAATTATTGCAAGTAACAGGAAGGGAAGGAAGAGGAAAAATCAGGGTTTGATTGAGGGCTTTCATTCGGCTGCTATATATCCCTCCTTGTTTATGTTGCTAGGCCAATCATTCTCTTTTACATCATCCCACATTTCTCTGTAGTCGACTCTGTAAGTTTCTCTATTTTCTGTTGCCTGCATCTTCAATTCTAGGCAGCTCAGAAGGCTTCTGGGTATTGGTTAATTTGTAGAAAGATATGTTAAATTCGTGTTCTTTACATATGTGAATGGGGATTGCATGATCTGGTATTCTCTGGATGTAATAGCTCAATGGCAACTGTCTGATGTTTCTTCTTGATCCTTTTTGACTGAATTGTTTGGTGGTTCTGTGGTGATTGTAGAGAAGATGGGTAATCTGTTTTGCTGTGTTCAAGTTGATCAGTCCACTGTAGCTATAAGGGAACAATTCGGGAAGTTCGATGAAGTTCTTGAGCCTGGATGCCACTGTCTGCCCTGGTTCCTAGGAAAGCAGGTGGCTGGCTATCTGTCTCTGAGAGTTCAGCAGCTGGATGTTCGTTGTGAGACCAAGACAAAGGTAAATTCCTTTTCCTTCGCTCACAAACATTTTTACTTGTTGCCTGCCACTATTATTGAATTGCTTGAGTTTTCCTTCACTAGTCTTTGCTGATGGCACCATTTTATCTGATCTTTCTGGTTTCTATTTTCCTTCACTCATGAATGTGTTCCAAACTTGTTTGCCGCCATGATTTCTCTTCGAATCTTTCTCCTTTCTTGCTCCAATTTCTATATTCTTATTTGCTAGTTTTCCCCGAAAGATGTATGACAGGCTATATGTTTGCATTGCATTGTCTTAGTTGGTTTGCCAAACTGTGGTGAATGGTGAATTTGTAGCTCTAGTAATGTCTTAAAATCCTTATTTTTTCAGGACAATGTTTTTGTTACTGTTGTCGCGTCTATTCAATATCGCGCACTGGCAGAGAGGGCGAACGATGCGTTCTACAAGCTTAGCAACACTAGGGGCCAAATCCAGGCCTATGTTTTTGATGGTATGTATTCTCCTTTGATCATATAGTTCATGACATGCACAACACGTGGTTTTTTTCACTACAATTATAGTACACTGGGAGGCTGACAATGGCTTTATCTATTCAGTGATTAGGGCAAGTGTCCCAAAACTCCTTCTGGATGACACTTTTGAGCAGAAGAATGACATTGCCAAAACTGTGGAAAATGAACTTGAAAAGGTAATCTCATTGAATTTTGACCAGTTTGGTTTAGGTGTGTCATTGAATTGGCTCCTGTAATTCTAAGCATCAAGTCTACCTTCTTTTGCAGGCCATGTCTCACTATGGGTATGAGATTGTGCAAACACTCATTGTCGATATTGAACCAGATGAGCATGTAAAGAGGGCGATGAACGAAATTAATGCTGGTAAATACTTATCCTCTGTAAATTCTGTTACTTTGTTTCAATAGTAGTACGTTGCTCATTGCCCTTTTCTTTACTTCATTTAGCTGCAAGAATGAGGGTGGCTGCTACTGAGAAGGCAGAGGCTGAAAAGATTCTGCAGATCAAGCGGGCTGAAGGTGAGGCTGAATCGAAGTATCTCTCGGGGTTGGGTATCGCTCGCCAGAGGCAGGCAATTGTGGATGGATTAAGGGACAGTGTAATTGGCTTCTCTGAGAATGTACCTGGTACATCTGCCAAAGATGTCATGGACATGGTCCTGGTGACACAGTACTTTGACACCATGAAGGAAATTGGTGCTGCCTCCAAATCCTCAGCTGTCTTCATCCCCCATGGCCCTGGTGCAGTTCGTGATGTTGCTTCTCAGATTCGCGATGGTCTTCTCCAAGCTAATGTACATTAGTAAAATAAACCTCCAATGCATATTCGTGGTTGTGGTTCTCTCTCACTTTGAACAAGATGGTTATGGAGGAAAATAGTTGGTTATGGTGTTTCTTTTTCTCCTTTTCACATTAGATATGAAGTCTTATGCTTATTACCTGTATAGCATATATATAGAACAACAAGCTACGTTTGAGAATGAATATGAATTTGTTTGTGTTTGAGGGATATTAGGATTTCTGGTGGAAAATAATTGTAATTCCTGCGTTATATCTTATTGATTCGAGAAAGAGAACAGCTTTGCGTTCTGCCATTTGGGTTTTTGTACTATTAGAGCACACTGAACAGCTGCTTCAATTTTTCAACCTATGAACGTTCCTCCGTTCAGCTCCATTTTATTCAATGTGGTCGTTTGCTGCTTTCGGTTGATCAAATTGACGTCCTGTTGGCAGGATCAAAAGCAGGACCAACCGGAGAAAAACGTACTATGAAAAATGAAGAAACTAGTTATTTGGATTTCCTGCCTTGCTAATTATGCAGAGATGATACTGGAACCCAAATGTGCCCTCTGTTCTAGGGCAGGAAGGACAATGCTAGGCCGACCTTGGAGAGTCTGCAGTTGTTGTCACTGGCTCTGAGCTCAAGCTCTGCTGATGCGGCAAACATCAGCTTCTCCCACAGACCCAGCTGTATGAACGCTCCTAACTTGGCATTCGTGTCCACGCGAGCCTTCAAGAACACCATCTCAAACAGATCATGCTGTATGCCAACCGTCAAGGTACTAGCTCCATCTCCCGAGAAAGAGTGCTTTAGCTCTGCAGCAACGGCTGTCCTGGTTATGTCGCTGAAGGAATGGTAGAAGGAGGCTCTTAACGTGTCAAGTTTATCATCCCTGATAAGAAGATGGTTCCATCGCTTTTTGGGTGACTGAAAGTTCAAAGCTTTGGAAAACATAGAGAGGGGTTACTTACAAGTTCAGTGATGTGATGGGGGATGTGGTTCCATTGAAGCAGAGACCAGCACTGAAGTCATCCAACGATTTGTTCGACACGTCAAAGGATAGTCCTGCTCCAATGGAGAAAAGATTGGCTCCAAGAAGGCCAGAGAAGCTGAGGATTGGGTCGTATGAGTTTCCTGAAAAGGGACCTTGTTTAGATGCCTTCACCCCAGCTCCTGCAGTTAGACCAACATAGTCATCTATGAACCTTAGTTCCACCTGTTATTATTCAATCCACTGTTAGAAGGAGCGCCAATCTCAAATTCTCTACACGATGACGAAAATTAGAGGAAGAGCAACAGTACCTTGCTGGAATCAGGAATGGTAAATCTGAAGAGTGTTGTGAGGCCGGGCAGGATTTCTTGAGCTGTAAGATTCAGAACAAAAGGTTACAACTTTCTCAAAAAGGATGAAGATTGAGTGAAGAGGTGATCAGAAGAGAGTTCTTACTTTCACAGGAGAGATCAAAGTTCCACTTAATCGACTGAAACTTGAAGTAGTTGGGCGGCTGACGAGCATAGTCTTTGTACAGAAGATCTGGCGGCAATTGGCAGAAGAATGAGAAGAGAATAATACTGAGAAGAGTACGAAGAAGAGAGAAGTGAGCTCCCACCTCTGGCATTCTTGCCAATGTCTGAGTAAAAACCTGGACAGTAGTAGTATCTCATTTGCTTCTTTTCGACAATTAATTGTGTTGGGCAAAAATTTCTTGACAAGAAGTAACATAAGATGTTGGTGTTCTCATTTGAGTCTTTAATAATTGGTTATTTGAAATGGTTGAGAGACAAAGATGATGAAATAGAAGGAAGTTTCCTATATGTAACCAAATCTACCAGAAGAGAATTTTCATTCCTCGAATGAAGTACCACAAAGCCTAAGGCTGAAATTTCCAAGAACTCCATGGCCATCAATGCTTGATTACTTATTAACATCCAATTTTTTGCCCACCTTAATTTTAAAGCACAACATCCACTTGAAATAGCGAGTCGATGTCATCAACATCTAATCGACCTCATGGCGACACAACTTTCAGAGAGATTGTCCAATAGGACAATGACATGCTCCAAGCTAGACTCGTAGTTCAGTATTAGCTCCTTTTCGTCCCTAATATTTTTCAGATCATTCATTTGTAACTAGGTTGAAAGTGCGTGCTCCACACATGGTATTCAATTCTATTATATTAAGTTTTTTTTTTTTTTGTAAATATGATGTAATGCGTTAAACAAAAAATAGAAATTGTCATGATACAATGTTTCAATTGATAAATGAAACAATATCATCTAAAATCACTTATGACTAGGACTGCAAGTTTGGTACCGGTATTTAGGATATATCGAATACCGTACCAAATTTATCACTATTTGGTATTACCGAATATCGGCTTATTTTGTAGGGATTGGGATTCATTTTGCAGTGCTATTAGGTATTCGAGATTACAGGATTGGGGTCGGTATATACCGAAATACCGAGAAAATACCGAAAATAAAAAATTAATGAAATATAGCACACAACCTTTGGTTATTCCTCAATCTTTCACAACTTAGAAGCCCACATCCAATTCAATTTTGACTTTCCAATATAAGTCACTCCCTTCCTTCACCTAACCTTTTGTTATTTTAATAACAACAAAGAGCAAACACTAGTATTAGTCGTCTCTCAGCCTCTAATTCGTCAAATTAAAGATTACCAATGACAAGAATTTGAGATGTCACCTCTCCTTCATTCTTCTTATCCATATCCTAGTTGTAGGCAAACTCAAGACTCTTTTCTTATACTCTTTGCCCTAAATTAAACAATCAAATATAATTTATATATTTAATTATTAATTGCATAGGTAATTAATTTCGTATTCGATAATACCGATTGAGATACAGAAGTACCGATTGGGATGCCGAAATATTTAGGGATTGAGATTGGGATACCGAAATTATTTAAGAATTGTGATTGATTTTAGGGTGTAATTCGGTATTCGATATTTGGTACTGGGATACCGATACCGTACCGATTTCCTCCCCTACTTATGTGTTCAGCCACATGTAATACCAAGTTGAAACTATGAGAGTAAATAGACTTGATGGCGATGAAGCCTTAAATTCTAAAATGTGAGTGTATGAAAAATAACATATTTATGTACATAGTCGAAAAACTCGAAAAAATTGTCAATTGATTGGTGATTTGATAATGGAAAATTCCTCATTGGAATACGCACGATTAGTCAACCTCTAATTGAATAGGCTGAAAACTAACAAAGGTTGTTGACTAACATACCGTTAGGTATATATGAATTCCATAAGTTTTGAGAAATTCATTTTGAAATGAATTTTTTTCGTGTTTGGTACAGAAAAAAATTCATTTTCAATTCTAAAATTTGAATTCTACAGAATCGAAGCTAGTTACAGCAATTTCGAGAAATTGAGATGAAATTTTCAAATGAATTCCCCAAATATTTTACTAATCATGATAAAGTGACATAATTGTAATTAAGTTAAATTACTTACCGATACAAGTTTGGCGCCAGCAAACACTTTTGCGCGCCTAGTTAATTCCTTCAGTCGGGTGCATTAAACTATATATATATGTAACCGACGGATGAGATGAGTTAGGAATAGAAGTTGGATGACTGAAATAGATATTTTACATTCTGTATAAAACAAAACCCGCGAGGACCGTTGTAACCACTTTTTGCCTAAATAACAACTTTACCTTTCCCTCTCCTTTCTCTCTCTATCTCTCTCTTCCCGATCTCACTCTTCTCTTCTCTGTCTTTCTCTACAATCCTCTTCTTCTCCTCTACAATTCCTACATTGCCGAGACAATCGATCCTCTAGTGGTGACAAGGTGGTATCAGAGCACTGTCTTGGCAACCTCTGCAATGACGAACACCAGAGGAACAATCGACGAGCGCCTCACTGCTTTATTGGCGTCTACAAATCAGGCGCAGGGTGATCTCGATGACAGAATCACCAACGTTCAGTCTTTGATGGCTTCTCAGGCGGCTCAATTCCAGGAAATCCGGACTCGTTCAGAAGGCCATTCCCAGCAATTCGTCACTTTGACGACTCGTTTGGACTCAATGGAGGCAAACTCATCGACGCATTTCGCGGAGCTGGAGACGAGCTCTGCAACTCGATTAGCGGACTTGGAGGCGCGGCTCGATGATCGCTTTGGTCATTTCACACAGGAGATTCGCGAGATGCTGCAATTGGTGGTTAATCCACGGCCGGCGGCGTGGGAGCGGTGGTGCCGCCGATTGATAGAAATGCTCGGGGCATTCTTCCTTCACCAAATCAGGGTTTTCGGGGTGCTGAACCTGTCTTGGTGCAGGCGCCTAGGGCTCACGCTCTGGTTCTCAATCCAGTAGCAGAGCGAGAACAAATTCCAGTTCACGGCCCAGGTAATCATAATCATTTTCATCAGCTTCCCCGTCTCGATTTTCCGTCTTTCAATGGCGAAGATCCTCGTGAATGGACGCGGAAATGTGAGAAATTGTTCGACATTTATGGCATTCCGCTGGATCAGAAGGTTAATCTGGCAGTGATCTATTTTCAACGACGAGCGGATCTATGGTTTGAAGGGTGTAAAATAGGTCGTCGGGAGTTGGTTTGGGAGGAGTTCGTTGCAGCATTATGCCAGCGTTTTGGAAATCGAACGTATGGCGGGGTGGTGGCTGAGTTCAATAAACTACGTCAGCGGGGTTCCTTAGCTGAGTATCAAGAGAAATTCGAAGAACTCCGATCCTTGATGGCGCATTTCAACCCAGCGTTGGACGAGATATACTTCATCAGCAGTTTCATTAGGGGGTTGGAGGAAGAATTGCGTCCGGTGTTGCAGATGTGGAAACCTCAAACTCTTGCTGGTGCTTTCCAGTTTGCACAGTTGGAAGAAGCGTCGAATCTAGCTCGCCAAAGGAAGTGGCGCAACAGTCAAGGAGTGCCTAATCGCTCTTTGGGGGTTACCAATAGTTCCAATGTCACACAGCCTCGCCGTTGGGAGAATACTACTGCCACAACCAAGCCTACTGGCGGTCTGAAATCGCCGTTGCTGAACCCGAAGAACAATGGTGCAAGGGGAGTCTGTTATAAGTGTGGCGATAGGTATTTTTTCGGGCATGTCTGTGATGCTAAGAAGCAGCTTAACCTGTTACAGGCAGAAGGTGAAGATGGTGCTAATGACCCATGGCAGAGTTCTGATGAGGAGGTTCTGGTTGAACCCACTTTGGAGGTTGATAACCCTGAGTTGGAAGAGGTCTCGATGCAAGCATTGAACAGTGGGGGAATGGCTAATTCATTGATAGTACAAGGAAGAGTTAAGAATGTCAAGATTTATATCTTGGTGGACACTGGCAGTACTCATTCTTTTCTCAGTGATAGGAAGGCAAAGGCATTACAGTGCCAATTGATTCCAGCCAGCAACCCTTTAAGGGTGAAGTTAGCAGATGGCACAGTTCTACTCAGTCATTTGGTTTGTAAAGGATTTGTGTGGGAAATGCAAGGGCACACGTTCCAGTATGATATGAGAATTTTGAGTTTGGGCTCCAATGATGCTGTACTTGGTTTGAACTGGCTAAAGACTATAAGCCTTCTCAAATTTGATTTCATTGGGTTGCAATTATTCTTCGACTGGCAGGGTAAAGAGGTGGTGCTCACGGGGGCTGAGGACATAGCTCAGTGTAAACTGATTTCTGACAAAAGTTTACAGAAACTTTGGGACAAGTCTGAAATTGCTTTTATGGGACAAATCTGCAGTTTGCAGGCTGTGGACCAATTGGCTAGCTTCCATATTGGAAGAATCAGCCACCAGATTTCTTGGGTTCAGTTTTACAGGAGTTCAATGATGTATTTGGCAAGCCTCAGGGTCTACCTCCTGGTGATCATACCATTCCATTACAACCTAATTCCCAACCGGTAAACCTTCGACCCTATCGTTACTCTATTCCACAGAAAGATGAAATGAATAGACTAGTAAAGGAAATGTTGGAATCTCATTATATTCAGCCTAGCAGGAGTCCTTATGCCTCTCAAGTTTTGTTAGTATTAAAGAAGGATGGTTCTTGGAGGTTTTGTGTGGATTACAGAAAGTTGAATGACCTCACCATTAAGGATAAGTTCCCTATTCCTGTGATTGATGACCTATTAGATGAATTGAGGGGATCTAAATTCTTTACTAAGCTAGATTTATTTTCTAGCTACCACCAAATCAGGATGGATCCTGCAGACCAACACAAGACTGCATTCAGAACTCATCAAGGGCTATATGAGTTCACTGTCATGCCTTTTGGCCTTACCAATGCCCCGGCCACATTCCAGGCCTTAATGAATAAGATTTTTAGTCCTCACCTAAGGAAGTTCATCCTGGTTTTCTTTGATGATATTTTGATCTATAGCCCTGACCAGGACAACCACAAAGAGCATTTAGCTGCTGCTTGGTCAATTCTGAGGGCTAATTCATTGTATGCCAAGCCTTCTAAGTGTGCATTTGGACAAACTCAGATTGATTATCTGGGGTACATCATCAATCAGGAAGGAGTAACTACTGACCCTGTTAAAATAGAAGCTATGGTGAACTGGCCTATTCCAAAAACTGTGAAGGAATTGCGTGGGTTCCTAGGGTTGACAGGTTACTACAGGAAATTTGTGAAGAATTATGGGGTGATAGGCAAAGCACTCACGGATTTGCTGAAAAAGGATTGTTTCCAGTGGTCAGAAAAAGCACAGGATGCTTTCA